TGTTGTCTTAGCTCTCTCGAATAACACCTGTGATTGCTTTATGCCTCTCTCCCATGTCAATATGCCTTGCCTATTGCTGTTTGGGTTAGTTTTTATTATACAATTTCACTGTAGAGCCCCCAGTCCCGCTCAACCTGCCTCAGATAGCTCCTTTGTCCCACCCCCCACACACCGGCTCAATCGGTGCCTCCAGTGATGCTATCTCTTTCATCGTTACTCAACGCTTAGGTTTACCTCCACTGTACTCATATCCTTCCATATCCTTGTCTGTACATAATGCCCTGAATCTATTCTACAACGCCCGGAAATCTGCCCCCTTTTATTCTCTGTACCCAACGCACTAGAAGACCAGTTCTTAAAGCCTTTAGCCGTATCCTTATTCTACTCCTCCTCTGTTCCTCTGGTGATGTAGAGGCTAACCCAGGCCCTGTAGCCCCCAGTATCACTCCTACTCCCCAGGCGCTATCATTTATTGACTTCTGTAATCGTAAAAGCCTTGGTTTCTTGCATATTAACATCAGAAGCCTCCTCCCTAAGTTTGAGTTATTCACTGCGTTAGCACACTCCGCCAACCCTGATGTTCTAGCAGTGTCTGAATCCTGGCTTAGGAAGGCCACCAAAGATTCAGAAATGTCCATGCTTTTCAATTACGAATATTTGGACTTGGAATTTGTTTTACTTTCTGAATTGACAGGAATTTACCCCAACCCTGCAGACACTAGTGATCCCTATGGTCTGACCCCTACGTGACCTCTCATCCACACCTGAGCTTTTCATGTGTTACTTCTACACCAACACCAGGTAACGGGGAGGAGGAGAGGAAGGACAGACAGATTCACTGATGGAGGAGTGAAGATATGTTTTGCTCTTTAATGCAATTTTCCAGCCACTCTACTAAGTGCAGTGTGTGTGTGCAGCCAGTCCCCAAGTCATTTAGCAATTTTGTAGTTTGATGAGGCTAGGCGCCAAAATAGTAAAAGAACAAGTGATCGCAATAAACGGATAAAACAACCTGCAGATGGAGTCATAAAATAGTCTAACTCTCTCTTCCGTCTCTCTTGTTCCTAATACTCTCTTTCTCCTTTTTTGTCAGCTGAAAGGGATTCAACGGTAAACGTGAAAGGGTATCCATTTCACCAAATACAAAGATCATTTGAGGATCATGTTTCCATGCTTTGATCTCTCTTCTCTCTCTCTTCTCTCTCTCTCTCTTCTCTCTCTATCTCTCTCTCTCTATATCTCCTCTCTATCTCGCTTATCTCTCTCTTCTCTCCTCCTCTCTCTCTCGCTCTCTCTCTCTCTCTCTCTCTCTCTCTCGTCCTCTCTATTTCTCTCTCTCTCTCTCTCTCTCTCTCTCTCTTCCTCTGTGGGAACTAGTTAATGTTAACTATTATTCAAGAACACGATGTGATCGGTGTGTGTGTTCCCTGAGAGCCTACGTACATAAACGGTGACTGAACAGAAAGAGAGTGTTTATTTTCTTGATTATTTCCTGCGTAAACAGAGTAAATTAAGGAGGTCATAAAATGTGTAAGGGCTTTCATCCCAAATGGCCAGTTAGTGCGCTACTTTCACCAGAGCCCTAGGTAGGGAATATAGGATGCCATTTGGGACTGCATTAAATTATGTAAATAAGCGATACCAACTAAATACCAACTAATCTATGCTGGATATGTTGGCGACAGACACTAAAGCATGTGGTGCGTCACTAATTTATTTATTAAACTAAACAACACTTATTTATTTTGAATAATATGATTTGAACAAAGGAATCTATCTAGAAACACAACACTAATATGATGTGAACCAAGGAATCTATCTAGGGCTTTCTTCACAAGCAGAAAAATAACAAAATATATAGGAGAGAAGAGAGGAGACAGGCATGACAAAACTGTCAATTTAATTTTGGCCGGTGGAATCCATGCGCTGCAGCACAATGGACCTCGACTGTGTTTTTACTTGTCCAATCAAATTATTAACTATAACTGACAAATCCGTTCCACTGTGTGTGTGTTAGTGTGTGTGTGGGGGGGGGGGGGGGGGGGGGGGTGACACTGTATAGGCCAACTGTCCTGGTAAAAACAAGTGGAGAGAATTATGACTGTTATGGCAACAAGCTTAATGTAAGATAAACTGAACAGTGCCAAATAAACTTTTATGTACAGTACCAGTCATAGGTTTGGACACAACTACTCATTCAAGGGTTTTTCTTTATTTTTACTATTTTCCACATTGTAGAATAATAGTGAAGACATCAAAACTATGAAATAACACATATGGAATCATGTAGTAACCAAAAAAGTGTTAAACAAATCAAAATATATTTACATTTTAGATTCTTCAAAGTAGCCACCCTTTGCCTCGATGACAACTTTGCACACTCTTGGCATTCTCTCAACCAGCTTCATGAGGTAGTCACCTGGAATGCATTTAAATTAACAGGTGTGCCTTGTTAAAAGTGAATTTGTGGAATTTCTTTCCTTCTTAATGCGTTTGAGCCAATCAGTTGTGTTGTGACAAGGTAGGAGTGGTATACAGAAGATAATAGAAGTGCTCAGCATATGTGGGAACTCCTTCAAGACTTTTGGAAAAGCATTCCAGGTGAAGCTGGTTGAGAGAATGCCAAGAGTGTGCAAAGCTGTCATCAAAGCAAAGGGTGGCTACTTTGAAGAATCTAAAATCTAAAATATATTTAGATTTGTTTAACACTTTTTCTGGTTACTACATGATTCCATATGTGTTATTTCATAGTTTTGATGTCTTCACTATTATGTAGAAAATAGTAAAAATAAAGAAAAACCCTGGAATGAGTAGGTGTGTCCAAACTTTTGACTGGTACTGTATGCAAAAATCACATTCAAGATGGAACTAAATAGCATGCAGCAGTTTAAAGATGCACTATGCAGAAATCGCTCTGTCATTTCCTGGTTGATAAAATTCTAATAGTTTGCCTAATTTCAGTTTATGTGACAAAACAAGCAAATATAGTGTAGAGGATCATGTACCATCTAAACCGCTTTTAAATATATTTTCCATACCCAAAAATATAGTATTTTCAGCTGTTTGAAGCTGGTGGACAAAACCGAAAGTAAAAGACGCAAAAACTAAACTTAAAAACGTCAAGCATAGAAATAGCGCACATAGAACAGATCTACCGCTTCTTAGACTTGATTTCAATTATATAATTACAGATCTATAACTCACATTTCTATGTGAATTTTGTCAGGTCGCACAAAAAAGTTACATATTTATTTATGATCAAATCAAGTTCAGGGTAAAGATAAAGTGCTATGTTTCGGTTTGTTTATATATTTATATTTATTTGTTTATATAACCACTTGTGTCAACAGTTACTGCTCAGTTTTCAGTGTGTGTGTGTGTGTGTGTGTGTGTGTGTGTGTGTGTGTGTGTGTGTGTGTGTGTGTGTGTGTGTGTGTGTGTGGTGATAGCTGTGTCGACTGTGTGTACATGGAGTGTACTGGCAACGTGTGGCGTCTGTAAAATATGCCTGTGTGTGGATGGTTACCGTGTGTGTTGCTGTGTGTAGTGTGTGTTTGTGGTTTGTGATGTTGTGTGTGTGATGGGGATGAAATTAGCTTCGTTTCTAAAACCGTTACAGTAATGAGAATCAAGGTCGTTACATGGGAAAAATCTGGCTGCTTATGTTCAACCAATCGCCTTTAACAGAACATTAGGTCATGACGTTGGTAATTTTTGATTGGCCTAAATCCTTACTTGATGAATTGCTTGGTGGTTAGTATTACAGATATAGGTTTAGATACTATAGATATATAAAGTTTCATGATATATATATTGGCTTTTTGGTTCAAGTATTCAATTCTTGCCTTTTTAAGGAAAATCAAGGCGGACTTGCGAAGTTAGATCTCGCTTAATTGATACAACGCGCATTTATGATTCAACAGAGAATATAGTCATGGTGTATTCGCTGAGATGGCAGTCGGATACGCGCATGTTCCAATTGAATCTCAACAAGGAAACAGTCAGTGGTGGTATTCGATTACAGTTTATTGAAAAAGTCTGGATTTCAGCAAACAATGAAAGGCATGCTACTACAGAGGACCAACATAGGTACAAGGTGGGCCTTTCATAAGTTGACTTGGGCCAATCGATGTACTATAGGTGGGCCTTTCATCATTACATTGTTGAAGTATTGACCTTGGGCAAATCAATGCAGTTGGAGCTGAATTCCACAAAACCTGGTCTCTGCTCCACTCCGTTGGTGGAGTTCATCAGAAACTTCATTCACCATGGAGTGGAGTTTAGTCAGATAATACTGGCATAACCTATTTATATTGAACAGTGGTGTTAAAAGTACTCAATTGTCATATTTGAGTAAAAGTACTAAATAAAAAAATATAAAAAGTAAAGATACCTTAATTAGAAAATGGCTGAAGTAAAATTGAGTCACTCAGCAAAATACTACTTGAGTAAAAGTCTAAAAGTATTTGATTTTAAATATATTTAAGTATCAAAACTAAAAGTAAAAGTATAAATCATTTCAAATTCCTTATATTAAGTAAACCAGATGGCACAATTTTGTAATTTGTATTTATTTACGGATGGCCAGAGGCACACTCCAGCATTTTTGTTTAGTGAGTCCGCCAGATCAGAGGAAGTAGCGATGACCAGGGATGTTCTCTTGATAAGTGTGTGAATTAGCCCATTTTCCTGTCAAAATGTAACGAGTACATTTGGGTGTCAGGGAAAATGTATGGCTTAAAAAAGTACATTATTTTCTTTAGGAATGTAGTGAAGTAAAAGTAAAAGTTGGCAAATATATAAATAGTAAAGTAAAGTACAGATACCCCAAAAAACGACTGAAGTAGTAATTTGAAGTATGTTTACTTAAGCACTTTACACCACTGATATTGAACGCATGGTCGCATGCCATTTACGAATAGTTTACAACGATAATCGAATATACAAATGTAGAAAGAAATGTAAACATATAACAAATATAAAACTTAGTTCAACATAGCCTACCTCGCAATGGTGCAATCAGTGTAGAGCGCCTCGAAGTCTCGCCTGGAGATGAGCTTGCAGCGGTTGACTCCCGGTTGGATCGCACCGAGCCCCCTCAGGACCCGGACCTGCTCCACAGTACACACAACCGGACATATATCCAGGCGTTTCAGCTTGGTGTAAACGGTATGAAGCCCGCCGACGAGGTGTTTTAGAAAGAGGTCAAAAACTTGGGGTAGACAAATCAACTCGTCCTGTCCTCCGACGCTGAAAGAGGCTACTTTTACTCCGTGTACATCCACCATTCTGCACTCACTGGTTGTGGTTGCAGTGGTGGAAATGACTCGATCTCCAAACACCGGTGTGTTGGTGAATCCCAAGCCACCGGATGGGACTCCTGAGCCGGGTAGGAAGGGGTTGAGGAGTCCGGTGGTGGTGAGCCGCGGGAAGGGGGAGTCTGGATGAGGGCTGGTGGTTGTGGGGTTGTAGATCGGGTCGGAGAGGAATATTCCCCCGGAGGAAGTTGATCCTGAGCCGGGTGAGAGGACAGGACGGGTCGCCAAGACGGCCATAGTGGTGGACATGGTCACTTTTCTCTCTCCCTTCTCTCACTTTCTCTATCTCTCTCATGGCTTAGATTCTCATCTCTCTCTCATCTGTCTCTGTCTTACTTGCTATTCTCTCTCTCTTTCCCACGCTACCTGGCGTCACTGCTTATCACCTCAGCCCAAGTCAGCAGCTCCTCTCATTCTCGCTCCATATCAGTGATGGTCTCTCGTCTCTGCCTCTATAGTCTCTCTCTCTCTCTACTCGATCCATCATCTCTCTCTTCTCATCGCATCTATAGTCTAGCTCTCTCTCCTCTCCTCTCGCTCATCTGTATGTTCTGATCTTAACTTTGCTGTTCTCACTCTCGGTTTCCCACGCGCTACCCTGGTCGTCACTAGTTACCACCACAGCCACAAAGTCAGAAGACCCGCCTACTCGACCAATCAGATGAGTGAGTGTGACGACAGCCACAAAGTCAAAAGGCCCGCCTACTCGACCAATCAGATGAGGGAGTGTGACGACAGCCACAAAGTCAGAAGGCCCGCCTACTCGACCAATCAGATGAGTGAGTGTGACGACAGCCACAAAGTCAGAAGACCCGCCTACTCGACCAATCAATTTGTTAGACTTCAGTGCAGCTATTGATGTCATTTGATCAAATCAAATGTTATTTGTCAAATGCTCCGAATACAACATGTGTAGACGTTACCATGAAATGCTTACTTACAAGCCCTTAACCAACCATGCAGATTTAAGAAAATATTTACTAAATGAACTAAAGTTTTTTTTTTTAAGAGTACAAAAAAAAGAGTAACACAACAAAATAACAATAACCAGGCTATATACAGGGGGTACCGGTACCGAGTCAATAACCAGGCTATATACAGGGGGCGGGGTGGACGGGGGACCGTACCGAGTCAATAACCAGGCTATATACAGGGGGTACCGGTACCGAGTCAATAACCAGGCTATATACAGGGGGTACCGGTACCGAGTCAATAACCAGGCTATATACAGGGGGTACCGGTACCGAGTCAATAACCAGGCTATATACAGGGGGTACCGGTACCGAGTCAATAACCAGGCTATATACAGGGGGTACCGGTACCGAGTCAATAACAAGGCAATATACAGGGGGTACCGGTACCGAGTCAATATACAGGCTATATACAGGGGGTACCGGTACCGAGTCAATAACCAGGCTATATACAGGGGGTACCGGTACCGAGTCAATAACCAGGCTATACATTTACATTTAGTCATTTACCAGAGCTCTATCAGAGCGACTTACATGAGCAATTAGGTTAGTGCTTATAAGGGATACACAGATTTTCACCTAGTGGCTCGGGGATAAACCAGCGACGTTTCGGTATGGCACAACGTTAACCGCTAAGCTACCTGCCGCCCAGGCTATATACAGGGGGGGTACCGGTACCGAGTCATAACAAGGCTATATACAGGGGCGGGGGCGGTACCGGTACCGAGTTCAATAACCAGGCTATATACAGGGGGGTACCGGTACGAGTCAATAACCAGGCTATATACAGGGGGGGGTACCGGTACCGGAGTCAATAACCAGGCTATATACAGGGTGGTACCGTACCGAGTCAATAACCAGGCTATATACAGGGGGGACCGGTACCGAGTCAATAACCAGGCTATATACAGGGGGTACCAGTACCGAGTCAATAACCAGGCTATATACAGGGGGTACGGTACCGAGTCAATAACCAGGCTATATACAGGGGGTACGGTATGAGTCAATAACCAGGCTATATACAGGGGGTACCGGTACGAGTCAATAACCAGGCTATTACAGGGGGGTACCAGTACCGAGTCAATATACAGGCTATATACAGGGGGTACGGGTACCGAGTCAATAACCAGGCTATATACAGGGGGTACCGGTACCGAGTCAATAACCAAGCTATATACAGGGGGTACCGGTACCGAGTCAATAACCAGGCTATATACAGGGGGTACCGGTACCGAGTCAATAACCAGGCTATATACAGGGGGTACCAGTACCGAGTCAATAACCAGGCTATATACAGGGGGTACCGGTACCGAGTCAATAACCAGGCTATATACAGGGGGTACCGGTACCGAGTCAATAACCAGGCTATATACAGGGGGTACCGGTACCGAGTCAATATACAGGCTATATACAGGGGGTACCAGTACCGAGTCAATGTGCGGGGGTACAGGTTAGTCGAGGTAATTTGTACATGTAGGTAGGGGTAAAGTGACTATGCATAGATAATAAACAGCGAGTAGCAGCAGTGTAAAACAATGGGGGGGGGGGTCAATACAAATAATCTGGGTGGCCATTTGATTAATTGTTCAGCGGTCTTATGGCTTGGGGGTAGAAGCTGTTAAGGAGCATTTTGGACCTAGACTTGGCGCTCCGGTACCGCTTGCCGTGCGGTAGCAGAGAGAAAAGTCTCATAGATTGAGAAGATGGCGCCGGAGGAGATGGCTGCCGTTTTACGGCCCTCTAGCCAATTGTACTATGATGTGTGTTTTTTCACGTTATTTGTAATTTATTCTGTACATAATGTTTCTGCCACCGTCTCTTATGACCAAAAAGAGCTTCTGGATATCAGGACAGCGATTACTCACCTCGTATTGGACTAAGATTTTTTCTTCGATTTTATTTAGGAATGTAGTGAAGTAAAAGTAAAAGTTGGCAAAAATATAAGTAGTAAAGTACAGATACCACAAAAACTACTAAAGTAGTAATTTAAAGTATTTTCACTTAAGAACTTTACACCACTGATTTTGAACGCATGGAGCTTCCGGATATCAGGACAGCGATTACTCACCTCGTATTGGCCGAAGATTTAGGTTATCCTACCAATGGGACATTAAAAACTGTAATATCTTATGTTTCACCGAGTCGTGGCTGAACGACAACATGGATGACATACAGCTGGCGGAATATACGCTACAGACAAGGGGTGGTGGTCTGTGTATATTTGTAAACAACAGCTGGTGCATAAAATCTAATACTAAGGAAGTCTCAAGGTTTTCCTCGCCTGAGGTAGAGTATCTCATGATAAGAGTGATAAGTGATAAGTGCCCTCTTCCCGACTGTCTTGGTGTGTTTGGACCATGATAGTTTGTTGGTGATATGGACACCAAGGAACTTGAAGTTCTCAACCTGTTCCACTGCAGCCCTGTTGATGAGAAAGGGGGCGTGCTCAGTCCTCTTTTTTTTCCTGTAGTCCACATTCATCTCCTTTGTCTTGATCACGTTGAGGGAGAGGTTGTTATCCTGGCACCACACGGCCAGGTCTCTGACTCCTCCCTATAGGCTGTCTCATCGTTGTCGGTGATCAGGCCTACCACTGTTGTGTCATCGGCAAACTTAATGATGGTGTTGGAGTCGTGCCAGGCCATGTAGTCATGGGTGAACAGGGAGTACAGGAGGGGACTGAGCACACACCCCTGAGGGGCCCCCGTGTTGAGGATCAACGTGGCAGATGTGTTGTTACCCTTACCACCTGGGGACGGCCCGTCAGGAAGTCCAGGATCCAGTTGCAGAGGGAGGTGTTTAGTCCCAGGGTCCTTAGCTTAGTGATGAGCTTTGAGGGCACTATGGTGTTGAACGCTGAGCTGTAGTCAATGAATAGCATTCTCACGTAGGTGTTCCTCTTGTCCAGGTGGGAAAGGGCAGTGTGGAGTGCAATAGAGATTGCATCATCTGTGGATCTGTTGGGGCAGTATGCAAATTGGAGTGGATCTAGGGTTTCTGGGATAATGGTGTTGATGTGAGCCATGACCAGCCTTTCAAAGCACTTAATGGCTACAGATGTGAGTGCTACGGGTCGGTAGTCATTTAGGCAGGTTATCTTAGTGTTCTTGGGCACAGGGACTATGGTGGTCTGCTTGAAACATGTTGGTATTACAGACTCAGTCAGGGACATGTTGAAAATGTCAGTGAAGACACTTGCCAGTTGGTCAGTGCATGCTCGGAGTACACGTCCTGGTAATCTGTCTGGCACTGCGGCCTTGTGAATGCTGAGCTGCTTAAAAGTCTTAATCACATTGGCTACGGAGAGCGTGATCACATAGTCATCCGAAGCAACTGATGCTCTCATGCATGCTTCAGTGTTGCTTGCCTCGAAGCGAGCATAGAAGTGATTTAGCTCGTCTGGTAAGCTTGTGTCACTGGGCAGTTTGCGGCTGTGCTTCCCTTTGTAGTCAGTAATAGTTTTCAAGCCCTGCCACATCCGACGAGCGTCAGAGCCGGTGTAGTACGATTCAATCTTAGTCCTGTATTTACTCTTTGCCTTTTTGATGGTTCATCGGAGGGCATAGCGGGATTTCTTATAAGCGTCCGGGTTAGATTCCCGCTCCTTGAAAGCGGCAGCTCTACCCTTTAGCTCAGTGCGGATGTTGCCTGTAACCGGCAGGTAGCTTAGTGGTTAAGAGCGTTGTGCCAGTAACCGAAAGGTTGCTGGTTCTAATCCCCGAGCCGACTAGGTGAAAAATCTGTCTGTGCCCTTGAGCAAGGCACTTAACCCTAATTGCTAATGTAAGTCGCTCTGGATAAGAGCGTCTGCTAAATGACTGAAATGTAAATGTAATCCATGGCTTCAGGTTGGGATATGTACGTACGGTCACTGTGGGGACGACGTCATCGATGCACTTATTGATGAAGCCAGCAACTGATGTGGTGTACTCCTCAATGTTATCGGAAGAATCCCGGATCATATTCCAGTCTGTGCTAGCAAAAAAGGCCTGTAGCTTAGCATCTGCGTCATCTGACCACTTCCTTATTAACCGAGTCACTGGTGCTTCCTGCTTTAGTTTTTGCTTAAAGCAGGAATCAGGAGGATAGAGTTATGGTCAGATTTGCCAAATGGAGGATGAGGGAGAGCTTTGTACGGGTCTCTGTGTATGGAGTAAAAGTGGTCTAGAGTTTTTTCCCCTCTGGTTGCGCATTTAACATGCTGGTAGAAATTAGGTAGAATGGATTTAAGTTTCCCTGCATTAAAGTCCCCGGCCACTAGGAGCG